TCCGAGATCTTACGGGTTTGGTCGGCTTTATGACCATGTGCAAGGACAGAGTGGCGAGGCATGTGAAAAAGACAAAGCCCAGAAGCCTCGTTGAATACTCCACTCTCGTGGGCATCATTTTCTAGATCTCAAAAAGTGGTTTTGGAAAGCTGGCATTGGTGGCACATGCCTTTAATCCCAGCATTCAGGAGGCAAGGTAGGCAGATCTCTTGTGAATTCGAGGACAGCCAGAACTGTTTTTCAGAGAAACCATGTCCTGGGGGGTGGGGGGAATGGTTTGGAAAAATGATCTTGGCCTGTCAGAAATAATTCTGGCATATCAGCCCCAAAAGAATGTAATACTTTATATGCTATAAACAAAACAAGTGATAATTTAATTCAATCTCCGAGAAGGAGATAGTGGAACTTTTCCACATAATATAGTTTCCATTTTTGTTGGCAGATATGTTCATCCATACACACATGTTCTTTGCCCTTTAAAGAGGTGTCGTGTGGGGTAGGGAATGCAGACTGTCTACCATTCAATGATTGTGGAGAGTCGGATTCTAGAATTTGGAGCCAAAATAGGTCAGGTGGCAAAATCTAGCCAGAGCAATTGATCCACACCCAGGAGGGCAAAATGGGTAATTTGGTTCAATTAAGAGATGTCAAGCCCCTTGGAAGGAGGCTAATTGTCTTAGTTTGGGTTTTTATTGCTGTGAAGAGAAACCATGACCACAGTAACTCTTATAAAGAAAACATTTAATTGGGGTAGCTCATCGACAGTTTCAGGGGTTCAGTCTATTATCATCATGATGGGGAGCACAGCTTCGTGCAGGTAGACATGGTAATGGAACTGAGTGCTACATTTTGCAGGCAACAGGAAGTCACATTGAGGGAAGCTTGAGCAAAAGAGACCTCAAAGCCCACCCTAATAGTGACATGCTTCTTCCAAAAATGACACGCCTTTTTGTAAAATGGGGGCCATTTTCTTTCAAACACCACACTCATTATGTCTCTTCCAGGTTTTGAGCACCGGACAAAT